AAAAACTAAGTTTCCTGTACTTCTGGAGTTAGTCATCCTGTACGTGACTGCAATTCGATGGTCCATTGCAAGCTATTTATGCTGTGGCTTACCAGAGAGAATAAAATTTGCAAGTATTAAATTTTTTTCAGTTCTCAAAAGTCAAAAATAGTTACATAGGTAAAGCTATTTTAATCAAAGTAGCACTATCCTTTTCCCTCACTTTGCCCTTCCTAAATTATAGGCAGCTATTTAACCATCGAACACATCACTCTTCCTATGAAGGACCAGTGATACTAAAGAGACCAACCATAAGCTTTCTCTTTTTCCTTCAAACTGAATACCTAACGCGTCTGTCTTTATAAAGATTCTTAGAATTACTCATCGGTCCTTGATGAGTGGTATTTCCAGTACCTTGTATTTGTATTAGAATAAAGTTTGGGCTTTTTTTCTTTCTGCATGTTTTATTAGCTGTTCTATTTGCCTCTCCTCTGTAACTGATGTTCACTTCTCTTAAGAGAAAAGTCCACCATCCCTTTTTGCCCTAAAACAAAGCTGCTCCATCATAGGAGAACTCACCCTTTTGCACCACTTACCTGGTCAGCTAGCACACTTTTATCACCATCTACCTTTGTCCTCACTGGCTCACCAGCAGGAGAAATGTCAGAAGGCCACCTGGACCTCCAGAGACACCATGCACCTGCCTTTTATCCATTTATACATTACTGTCTTCCAGCTGTCTTGGGGTAAATTCCCTCAGAATGAGAGTCTGTCTGTCTTGGATGGCTAAAGATCTTTATGGACATGAAATCTTCAGGATAACAATTTCATGGTAATTGGATATTCCTAAATACACAGCACTCGTCCCATACCACCCCTTCCCTACAACTCAAAAGCAACTAATTCCTGCTTTCTGTATACAAGGCTTCTTTGGCCTGAACTCGTTGCAGACTAGCTAGCTGCAAACTAGCCTGCTTCATGTTCTGCTCTTATTTAGTGACAACCAGTATTTCTCATAGTGGTGTAGAGTTCTATAATACACTATCCTGTGCTGGTCTTTGTACCATCGTATGATCCTCCAGACATAGTAACAGTGCTGAAAAAAATCTGTACTTCATATAAACTTGTGCAATTAAATTTATAAAGTTGTACAATTTGTACTTCATATAAAAGAAAGCATTCTGGCAGAAAAACTAACTATAGCATATCCATACAGCTCGCCACAGTTGCTTAAGACATCACTGGAAGTAAAGCATTTTATTAGGTGTTTCTGCCTTGTCGTCATTTCTTCCCATTACCAAGAAAATATGCTTTCATATTGTAACAGATACAGTTACATCATTCAGAAAAACTCCACGGCGGCAGGGAAGAAATCCCAATAAACAAAAGAAAAGGAGGAAATAGTCAGTAAGGTCTGTGAGTGACACAGAAGCCGTATCTTAACTGACAAAATAGGCACAGGCATTCTTGAACTAGCAAACTGCGTTGCAAACCTTCAAAGACAACTGTCCAAAGGAAGTTTGCTTGTATAAATTAGTTAGCACTTAATTCTATCTCCACTGAACAACGTAGCTGGAAAAGAAGAGGAGAGAGGAAACAGGAAGCCAGAATGAGCCATGCCATTTAAATAAGTTAGAAGTATTCTCTGAATATTTTTCCTCTGGAACAACCACACACGTTTATGGCACTCTGTAAGAAGATTTTCACTTGCTGGTTGCTGAATTGACAAATAGGATTCAAGAACTGCTTATGCAATGCAAAAGGGCGTTTCCCAATACCTAGCCTTTGCACAGAATGAAGCAAATTTGCCTAGGTGCAGTCAGGATGAACATAGTTTTTGTTAGAGAATCCAATTCTGGCCATGTGAGAACCAGGAAGCTTATCATACAAGCCAACCCTCTGATAACCTAATCTTGTTTTAGACAGACTGTTAGCAGTGCACACATTTTAAGTGAAAAACTACTACTGTCCTTCATAAATCCTTAAACTAAAATAACATTAAGCAGTCTGAAATATTTTAATGTTGAAATGCCCATGGGCCTGAGAATTGTTTCACCTATCAAGGCAGCTTGTCTGTACTTCTTCTGCACTACGTGGAACACCAGGCTGGCAGAATGACGGGTTCCCGAAGTGCATTGCCAACATAAAACACATCTTGTGCTGACTGGATTAACCTTCTTAGCTGAACCACCCGAGATAACTCTGAGTAGGCACTTCATGCCAGAACTTGTCAATAGAACTAGGAAGGGGGAGATTTGGGCCAGCATTTATTGCTACAAGGAGAAATGAATCAGCAAGTCAAGAGGGCTCACAGAGTAAATACGCAAACCAGAGCTTATATAAGAAGCTTGGAACATGGCCAAAACCTATTGAAATAAAGCGGCCACAAGACACCGAAAGGATAGGATACAGGGGGGCCTTCTTAGCCAAATGTCATTTTCTTTATTCAGGTGGAAGTCTTGATGGCAAGACAATGAAACAGGATTTTCCTTAAACAACTCCAATCACACACAGCTTCAAAACTGCATCTTTAAATAAAAGCATAGTCAGAAAACCAAATATGCAATACTACTCCATTGCAGAAAAAGCTGCACTACTCTGTACAACTGAAGATTTCAGGGACTTGTCAAAAGTTCTCTGATTAGGCAGAGTATAGATTAAAAAAAAGAAAAAAAAACTGACAAATTTTAGTATTTAACATTTGGTCTTAACTTTCATATATTTCAGCTGTACACAAGTAAGAACTCATTTATGGTCTGTATGTTCACTGTGTATTTCAGTACCTGTAAATACACATTGATATATTCGTTACCTCCACATTTAACCTACGCACTTAGCAGTGTGCTCAGTGTGCATTTAGCAGCTTGACAAATTATGGTACCTTTTCCAGAAAACTATTCACTACGAAACTTTGGGAAACTGGTGAGCACACACTCAACCAGCATTAAGAAGCCTCTATCCAAAGAGGATCACAAAACATCAGAAACACTTACTAAGTCTCTTGTGATACCTACAGTAAATACTTCTCATAACATGCTTTACAGTTCAACCATTCAACATCTGCCTGCAGCCACAGGCCTATCACAAAACCAGCATTTCCTTCCCAATTTTGTTCTTTTTAGCTAAGAGAGATTTTCTTTCCCCAATAAAGGCTCATTAATCAAGTCCGCCGATGCGCCAAGTTAGGAGTGAAAAACGGACTAGGCATAAAATAAGAGCAAACTACTGCAAAGCAACAAAAAAAATAAGGTCTACATTAACCATTCCATTCAGATTACATTAGAAAGACTTAATAAGCATTTCAATGTGAAAACAAGCAGATCCACAGTGAAACTAGGATTATAAAAGAAGATTCTAATTCAACATAAAATTATTCTCAACATTCAAACATCTATCGGCCTATTCTCTTACACATTAGGGAATGTTATTGAACAAGACTAATAGCATAAAAAAGGAAAGGACCCATTCTAAACCTAAGCTGTGCAATGTTGCCTGAACTCCCTGTTCTGTTACTGTTAGCTTGGCAGTAAATAGGACAGTAACAGCTTATTAAAAGTCTCAGACTATCCACGTGACAAAACAACTTCTCTTTTGTGACAATTTCTTCATGGTATCAGTTGCTAGTGAAAGAAGTCTCAGAAGATTAATAAAGAAAAATGGCATTTTATCAAATTCTCTGTAACCAAGGATCTATAGAAACAGTAATGCTGAAGCCCTCACACAGAATATCAAGTACATTTAATGATTTTCCTCGCAAAAAAATAGTCTGCTCATCAAAATAAATATTCTTGCCTTTCCTCTTTTTTAACCTGTTTTATTAAAACCCACTCTTTTCCCACAAACCCATTTTCAAGCAAAAGTTCCAACACTTGTACTATTTTTTCATATTGGTTCCTAATTTAAATCTCACAAGGCACCTGCATTTCCAAGCACATAATTTCTACAATACTATTATGCATTTAAAACAGTATTTTTGCAATTAATGTATTTCCCCTCTCAGAAGTCAACATTTTCTGTGGATAGTTACAAATACTTGTGAGCGTATTCTACCTACATTCCTGAATCAGAGCAAGAGATGGAGAAGGAAAAGTGAAAAATGCATTTGCTGAAAGGTCCTAATTAGGACTAAGACAGCATATTAAGATGAAACTTACCCTACTGGAGATCCTACTCCAGTATATTAAGATCAGAACATACTGTGATGTACTAACATTTTTGTGGCATTTCACTTAGGCATACACCTAATAAAAAAAAAGTCACATCATTCTGGTGACAAATTCTTTATGAGGAGCTACATGCATCTACTGTTGAATTATGGGATTAAAAATAAGTTTAAATAAACAAAAAAACCCCCCCTCTGTCTCACCCCCCCAACATACCACTAAGAATGTAACGAGCATACAGAACCAAAACAGTACATGCTGAAAAAAACCCAAAACCAATACCACCCAAATAAACAACAACAAACACAAACCAACACCCCAATCACATTAGCCTTTCTCTAGATAGGAAAACAGAATTTAAGTTAACTTACCCAGGGCAGAAATATTTGTTTGAAACTGCTTTTATTTTTTTGCACAGAGCTTCCTGAATATATTACCATAAAATGGGTTAGTCTTGCATACATTATGTAGCATTCAGAGTAAACAATGCAGAAAACTATAGCAGAAGCAATGAAAGCCAGGTTGCCTATACACAAGTGCTCAAACAGAGATATATCAACATGCTAAAACCACAGACACACAGACCACGTTCTGTGACCCAAGTGCAACAGACTGTGCCACTGCAGTGAATATCCCTAGTGCTTCTTGCCAGAAAGCAAATAAAATTGACCATTCTTATGCATCTTCCCCACAAAATACTATAGTACAAATTCAGCAGTTAAAACAGAAGTTTGTCATTCTTACATGTGAGGGTGAGAGAAGATATTATTAGTGCATTGTAGAGTAACTGAAACAGTAAGCACACCCAAAATATTTCTTTCCCCTTATCTGCTTCAACACGTCCGGACAGTCACCTACCCGAATCACTCCACCACTGCCAATTCACACCACAGGAGTCTGAATCAGTTTCTGAACTTGGATCACAGAATCCCCAGGACGAGAACAGTTTATTAAACAATCCACATGGATCTGTGAAAAAGAATTAAGAAGTGTTTTCAAGATTATGGGTAGAAGGGGCCTTACACAAAAGTTCAGTTTCAAATCCACACATTAACTTTGTTTTACACCAGCATTAAACACCAAAGTGATAGTATGTAACTTACCACCACAACCACCATTCTACAATTACTCATTTTTGTCCTCCGCCAAATCCTGAAGTAATGCAAGCAGAGAAAGCAGTGTGCCAGAACACAAAAAAGGTAAAACTGATTATCATCTCCTCCTTCTATGCCAGCCAAAACCAAAACATATGCACTGCTAGCAAGGCTGAGTTCAAAACAGCTCCCTTTGTGTTACGCATATGTATGGAGTTTTAATGCAATTATCAGATTAACAAAATATAACCAAAACCAAGAAAAACCTATGTGTGGGACCTCAACTGGATGACTTCCTCTCAAAGGACTGCTCTTCTGGTGAGTCTCAAGCATGTTCTCTGAAAGAGAATCTATACCACCCACACTGTCACAAATACTCCCACAGCCCTCATGGGGAAATACAACTCCTTGCAACAGATGAGGCTTTAAAAAAGCTGCAATTATTTTAATTGGACCTGCCAGCTGCCTTCCATTTAGCTTAACATGAGGTTTTATTGAAAGTCTGCAGCCACAGCCATTGGCAAGAGTGGAGACAGTTGCTTACAAGTAGTTGGATCTATTTCTGAGAAGCTTGCTCTGCCTGGTGAGCTTTTGTGGAGTACTGCCATATAATCTATATGTTGAGGATACAAAGTTTTATTATGTGGTCCTGGCTAGTAGGCCGGAATAACGCAGTAAGTCTAAGACGTACATGGAACACACCCATAACCTCATCTTGATGACATTTGTTGGGGCCCGTTGAAATAAGGTGCCAAAATACAGAAGAAAAAGAGGACGATAAATTAAAGAACAGTTTTGTCATCTGCTTTTAAAATTGCAAACACATCCCACACACACAAAAAACCCCCATGTCTAATACAGCTAGGTATCTAGGTCGATAACTAGCATCTTTCCTAAGAGAAAAAGATTCTTCAGGAGATCAGATCCTGATTAGCATGCTCTTTTCAGAAAGCATTCAGTATACAGACTCAAGACTGAGTTTCATGAGTCCTAAAGACAAAGAACAGCAACAGAATCATCGTTAAAGTAACTGTTTCTGCCAGTTCCAGAGCATTCTGTGAGATTTAGCAAACTCTAAAACCTCCACACCAATACGGCTGTTTAACAGATCTCAGCTACATTTTCCAAAACACTGCCGGTTATCAGCTCCCCATGGTGCCCTGGCCAGCACAGCTAGAAACTCTGATGGATGCCGACGTTGATGGCTGTACTGCTACTTTCCTAGCTTGCTAAGGAATAAAAAAATTTGGGTTGCTGTCCCTTATAGTGGTGGCTCTGGAACTTTCCTTCTGAAATTTTCCTACTGCTTTCACACCTACAGCCAAAATTTTTGTATGACTAAAAATACTAACATAAGAATTGTATTAAATCAAGTTTATATCTGGCCAGCAACTCCCTTCATACACACCCCATTTAGGAACTGCTGCTCTATGATGTAAAGACTGAACCAGCTTTCTTGGCTCTCAGCTAACAAGAGCTGAGTAACTTCCCTCTCACTTGTCTTCCACAGGTTAAACTTTCAGCTCAATTTGAGCTTTTATTACAGATAGACAGTGGACTGTTGAACATGCTGACTCCTCCGGTTTACGTGTCTGAGTGTGTGACTACCTCTAGCAAGTCTCGAATTCTGTAGTACCCTGTTAGTGCTTCAATCACTAATTAATCCACTATATGCCATGTAGCAAGAAAAAGAATACAGTAACTGTAGGGCCGTATAAACAATGGACAACTGCACAGATCAATGCATAAAATAGTATTATCTAAGCACTACGTAAGGACTGCAAAAGAGGATTGGAAGATTCCTCCATCCTCTGTTCTCTCCCCCTGCTGACAAATAAGATGTTGTTATAGAAGGTCAAGAGACAGATATCAGTTTAACTCCACTGGCAACTGCAATACATTTTCCATGACCATTAACCACCTTCTTGTTAACAAGTCAAAAATTCAAGACATCATCTTTTCTTAATAAAAAATTGGCATACATGCTACAAGTGCTCAGTGTTAAGCTAGACCCCAAACATTAAGGGTTGGGGAGGAGTAGGAAAATAAGCATTTTACACATCTTTCTTCTGAAGACCTTTTGCTCTGGCACTTCTTCCCCTAATTCAGGTTTTTCCCACAACTTGATAATTTAAACATTAAGTAGAACTAAGGCTAGAGCTTACTCCTAGCTTCTTCATTATCATATATTCTTATTTTAATTAAAACACATGTTGCCTAATTAACACCGAGAACCAATTCCAACTCGAAGCCCTGACAAGCAGGCCACTGTATGAAAAAGCACCCTTATTACATTTGAGTTATAAATGAATTTCAGAAGTTATAAGCAACTAGAGTTTTCAGGACTAGATAAGCTGGTGCTGTTGAATGCACAAAGTCATCCTATGCAGACAGCATCTGACAAAGAACAAGTACTTTTGTGGCTGCAAAGCCAAGTATGAGAACAATCAACTTGGATTTTACTCCACCATTACACTTGTGAAAACCATGCTGCATTTCAAAGCTGTGAATTAAAACCCAGAAGAAAACATTTTCACTGTACTCCGTTTCTGGCCCTCTGTTACAGTTGTTCCTTTTTTCAATAGCTCTACGACATGAAAGATCAGGGTCTGCCTAGCCGCATGAAGTTTTGCTTAGCTATTGCAAAGAAGAAAGTGGGGTTAGTACTGCTATCAAGAACTTCAGACTTTGAAAGAATGAATCCCAGATCCCACACTTAAATCAGTACTGATATTACATTATAATCCAGCTCCATCTGTAGCTTTGAGTAGACGTAGTGGAGGAAGATGCCAGATGGAGTATCATGATGGACACTACTCCCATTCAATTACAAATTCCACACAAAGCCAAGAAGCGTCATCACACCACTATCTTAGCAATATAGGTGCAATTGCTGATAGCAGGAGGCAATGAAAACTATCACTTAAAGCAGCAAAATTTATTAGAAATACCCCATTAACCACATTTTAATAGGATCAAAAAGACTGAGGTATTTGTTAGTCAGTTCTACCGCACCAGCAGATCTATGTATAAAACCTTGCATTTTGCTTTCAAAGGAACAGAAAAAAAAATTCAATTACTACTACATGATTGTTCCCTTTCCATTTTCTTTATCTACCATGACAAAGTAGGAAAGGATACTTAGATTTCTTTTAAGCATAGTTTAGCTGAATCCATCCTCCAAAATAAGGGAAAAGAGAAAAATATGAACTTACGAATTCATGAACACAATTACAAGGAGTGCACATACAAAACTTATAATTTAGCAGCTACATTAATGCAATTGAGTACGAACAGAATAAACAAAGCAACTGCTCTCCACAATTACTTTCTGAAAGCTACTAAATACTTTGTATATCTGATTTTTTTTCCATTAAGTGGGTCAAACGGAGGACGCATATAATTACAGATAACACACCTAAATTATATTACAGGAAGTTGTTTTGACATATATTTATTCCACTCTTAAAAATCAGGAAAAAGTGCTTAAACATACTTGACTACTCTCCTTCAAAGTGTTAACAGATAATTTGGTTATACAGAAATTCAGTTTGCCAGAAGCTAGATGACTGACAGGAGGGGGCACCAAGTTGCAGGTTAGTCTGTGAGCTTAGGTATTTGCCATCAAGTAGCTGAATTGGTTTTCACACAACAGAAGCACATAAATTTGACATTGGATCCTGGATTCTTCTCCAGAGGAATGACTTGAGGGGAGAAAGGGAAACCTCTTCAGCAGTGTATGTTAATCTCACTAAACTCAGCTTCACTACTGGCTATAATTTCAGCATGCAAGACTCACAGTTCATAGCCAAGTATCAGGACTGATACCGGAAATTTAGGATCTTAGCAGAGACAGAGTAACTTTTATTTTGGATCTTAAAATTAAGGGATCTTAAAAAAATCCATTTTCCCTCTTATTTCAATATT